ATCGTTTGTTCGAATGTCTATTACATTCCTGATGATGCCAACTGAAAGCTGGCGAAAGCTCGAATAAAGTATTTTCAAGACTGAAAGTCATGTTATTCATAGCAGTTCTATATTCGATTTACAAATATTTATCGAAGTTATTGTCGATTTTGCTGATATGCCAAAAATGATCGCACCCTACACTTTCAATTTGAATCTTAGACTGCCCCATGCTATTCAAGAACAAATGATCGAACAAGAAATTAAACGGCTAGCACAAAGAGCTAATTCAGTCATGGTTTCTGCTTCTGTTCGCAATGAATCTACTTGCAGTGAATCATTGACATCGCAAGAAGCAGTTGATGCTGAAAGACATGCATGTATGTCTTTCAGCGTCAACCGCTTCATCATATACTGCAAGTGATTTCAATATTGTCACTGAGTGACAATATTGAAATCACTTGCAGTATATGACAGTTATTTACGGTTTACATTCACTACTATCACTAGCTAAACCACGGCCATTAATGATGGAATTTGACAACAATTATTTTAATATGACTGTTGCATAAATCGTGTGTCGATTTGCTATGACCATTGCACACTTTTCTGTTGAGTTCATCCTATCCAGCGTACTGTATAGTCTAGTCGTTTTCTGACAAACTGGGATCCTACTACGACCGATCATTGCATCGATCCATGCACCAACAACATTAATGTCTAAATTCTTGAATGATCTTCTAGCGCCGGTTTACTTACAAGCAGCTCGTCAGACAACGTTTATCAATGGTATTGATGTTGCTCGACAACTAGAAGAATACGTCGCCCATGGTCATTTCACATCCACTACGAAATTCGTCACCGCCGATGTGAAAGATCTCTATACCATGATACAACGACAAGGTGCCATTGAAGCATTAATACGGTTCCTAGAGAAATATTCTCATCATGGAAAGATTGGTACATTAACCATCAATCATATCCTGAGAATGGTCCGTTTAATATTGGACACGAATTGTTTTGCCTATAGTAACACGTATTATCGACAGATTCGTGGAGGAGCAGTGACTTCAGCATTTACACAAGTCTTAGCTAATATTAGTATGCTGGAATGGGAACAAGATCTCATTCAACATCAAACAGAACATGGGGAAATATATGGAAGGTTTGATGACCTACACAGATGTATAGTTTCTTCACTGACTTCTCTCTGTTTATTTAGATACATCGATGATATCTTCATGACAACCAATCATACGGTCGACGAAATTAATTGTGAATTAGCGAGGGCACAGAAGAAAGATATCAATATTTAAATAGATCCGACCATCAGTACGTCTGTTAGTTTTCTCGATGCGACTATTACCAATGAAAATGGCCATGTAAGGACATCAGTTTATCATAAGCCAATTACTGAACCTTACATCCTACCGTATACATCTGATCGTCCACGTCATATTCATCGCAATATTTTCTATGCAACATTGTTACGGGCAGCTCGTATCTGCTCACATGTGGATGATTTCAATTCCGAACGTATTCGTATTGATATGTCATTGTTATCAAACGATTATCCACCACATTTTATCAAGAAACAGTTCAATCGCTCCTTCACTCACAATAATGCTGTACCAGTCGTGGAGAAACTGAACCAAGCAGTATATCAACGATTGCATAAGACATTACTGATTTAACCGACCAGACGTGAGAAGATACTTCAAAAACTGATGAAAGACCCAGTCAAAGCATCCGAAAATTTACAAACTAAGATCTGGAATTGGAAGATCATGTGTCCGAGATAGCTTTTTGACAGTGGACTTACCACTCCTTTTAAAAACGAATTCAATCAATGGTGGAAAAAAAATCATCGGTATGCAGGATCACCAGTCAATGATGTTCGAATACGGTTGAGCGCGAAAACGAATCGAACACTCGAACATTTCTTTATCCACAAGAAGCCGAACCGCGAGCTGCTCACTAAGATGGAAAACTCGACCACATCACTCGAAACTGACTATCGATGATTGACAAAATTCTCATGATTTCAGAAACAAAACTCTACTTCTTTCCTATCGATATTTCATTGTCAACAACTTCTCCTTATGCTTGCTACATCTTTCTTCATCATCTCATCGATTCTAAATAAAACATTGCAAACTCCCGTCTATTCCGCCGCAATGATCATCCTTGAAGTAATGAACAGCGAAATGATAGTGACCCAACCAGAACCATGCATATTCCATCAAAACAAAAGGACGACTACACAGCGTGAGATTGAGCTCGGACGAATCTACCTCCACTTTGTTATTCCGTCACAGCGAACTTTTAGATTTTTCATTCTTAGTTGATGTAGTAGGAGTTCTAATCATACCTGATGATGACTCCAGAGTCGAAACATGTAGTATGAACTGCTCTGAATCATTCTCTGACGTAAACTCACACCCTCAAGACAGTTTAAAATACGAGATATTTTGGGATTCTAGGTTTCTTTAGATGCTCTATCGATCGAGCATATAAAGGGAAGAATCTGAGATTCGACAGGCGCCAGTGGTCTAAAAAAAGGTCGGTTCTCTCATGGAACGTCTCTTACACGTCAAAACTTCTAGTTTTTCAGCGCTAAAACGCTATTTTATTCTAGAATTCCAGAAGATCACGTTCTAACGCTGAAAAACTGGAAATTTTGACGTTTAAACGCCCAGAAAGTTAGAAAAAACGCCGATAAATGCGTTTTATAGCGTGTTTTAACTGAGCGTTAATGGCTCATAATCGGGGTTCCCTTTTGTGCGTTTGAATGCGTTTTTCCAAATCCGTGACTGCCTGGGCACCGAAGGTTCCTCACTCACTCAATTGTTGGTTCAATCAGCCAAGAGAGAAATTGATTTGAGAGGGGAATATTGAACTGAAAAACAGCCGGTAATTAGCGCACGTAAAATACTATTATATCAAGTTACACAGTGAGACATAAAAGCATGCTTCTTGACTAGCTCGGTGCAATAGTTGTCGACGTAGCCATAAAAATTCGTTCTCATCATGTATTATTGGAATAATGGATGTCGCGAAATGTAAGAGACATTCTCTCTTATAATGAGCAACTATCCAGAAAAAACAAATACAACTTTTTCTCTTTTCTCGAGACTTATCCGAGAATTTGGAGCTTACAGTTGTATTAAGTGAGACCAGTGAACCTGTTCACGGATGTTCAGCTGGAAAACACTGAAGTCTTTTGATTGAATATTCTTCCATTCTCAATTTGCATTGATTGTTTTACTTTGTGCTTTCTCATACTGCCCCATGCTAATTCACGAATTTCCTGTTAAACTACTAACCAACCCAATCTATTGTAGAACGTATAGTCATATTCCAAATATCGCTATCTGCCCTTTGAGAGATAAATTGTATCCAACTGAAGAATTCAATGATTCTCGCTTCAAGTTTCAACACTTAAAGCATTCAGCGATTGAAATCACTGATGATGAACAGATTAAGCCCTGTCCGAAATGCGTTGTAGGTAGCTTGGATTCTAAATCTACATATATAATCTCACCCTCACTCTCATCACAACATGGTCGATCACATTCATCAGACCATCGATGTCATCACTCTTTGTATGATCAGGGTAGATGGAAGTGAAGATGACGGCGAGAAAAGAATTGACATATCTGGCAATGGAAGCAATGCACGTTCTTTGTACTTGATCAAACGAAAGGAAGACACTGCATTGATTCCAAAAGAATTATCTACGAAAAAGCGTGTCTTATCGAGGACATTGAACACATATGCTTACTATTCATGTGACATGGCTGAAATGCAACAGAAAGTACGAGAACATATGACCCGTACAGGCGTCTATTCGTTGATCACGGGAGTCGATAGCACCAATCGACATTGTATTGACACGTGTTTGAATAATATGAGCGAACGAGTCACGTGCACACTAAATAGTTGATTATATGATCGATCGATCACCTTCTCACAATGGTAACAGATGAAAGCCGACTCGATTCTGTATATTTTCTACCGAACACACGGAGTAAGACATAGGATCGATCTCTTTTTGTTCAATTCGTTTTCTTTAAATACAGGAGAATGTTCCATTGCTACCAATGATGAACTGTCGTCATGGTTTAACAATGAGGATTTCTCCTTTTCTCGGTCGTCTTCTTCAACCGATTTACGATCGAGTCACTCATTCGACGGCATTCAACACAGGTATCGATGTTATCGATGCTGTGGAAGACTATAGTAAGGAAGGCCTTCTTCAATCAAGCACTCTATTTGCTACTTTACATATCCATGATTTATGCACGATCTTTCCACACGAATCGACAATGGCAACTTTACAACGTTTCCTCCAGGAATATGTCATCGATGGACGAGTCCAAGGTATCACTCTACCAAACATCGTTGATCTGATTCGGCTGTGTCTTCAAAATCAATTTATTCTCTACGACAACAAGCTCTATCAACAAATCCATGGAAGCGGCTTTAATTCACCATTGACGACGATCTTAGCGAACATCTACCTGTATTACTGGCAACAAGATTTAGTAGCCATGGTAGACAAACAACATGGAATCTTTGACCGGTATTCATACTGTTCTTAGGATGTTTCTTTCTAGAGTTGTGAACATGCCACATCCTAGATGTCTGAATGAACTATTCTTGACGTGGAAGGAATCAGAAGATAGACTGCATGATACACTCAATACGATCAATCAACAAGATCCTCATATTCGAATAGCACTAACTAATTGGTAGCACCATCAATTATCCTGATGTGAGCATCCATCACATTGATAGTGATTTGAAAATTCAAGTTGCTCATAGACATCGAACCCCATGCATTACCTATTCGGTCATCCACGGCATCAGTATTCTAGCTTACCACGAGCAGCTCTTGTGCAAGCTGTACGATGTCCACGGCATCAGTATTCTAGCTTACCACAAGCAGCTCTTGTGCAAGCTGTACGATGTTGTACAGATGTGTCTAGTTTCGCTAATGAACTCGAAGATATGCCCTTGTTATTTGAGTACAATGGATTCGAGGAAGACTTTTTCATTGTCAAGCTTCAATTATTTCTCGAAGAGTTTGATACAGTGCAACTGGAAGAACTTCACTACGGAGAGGCATATTATGATCAATCTCTCTACGACTATCTTCGCCAGAATGTTTTCAATTACAATCAAGGGCAAAAGAAAGTATTATTAAAACGACTTCAACGACAAACGATCTCATATCGATGGAAACGTTCGCTGAATTGACAAAATTGATCTCATATTAGGTTCAGAATAGATTCTTTGGACTACTATGCTTATCTCTGCTTCTTCAGACAGTCATAAAACAGACATCTCAATTTTCCTTCTATGTTCGACTACGTCTCTAACTGTCGTACTCTTCATTGTTCTCCTTTTCTTTTAAATCTATCTTACTGTTGGTAGTATTTGTTCTTTTAAATTGAATAGTTTCATCACGTGTTCTCTTTTTATTTCAGATCGTTATCTTAATTATGACGAAGCATACCGATAGCAAGAAAGAAAAGACGAAGACTCCCAGTCGAGATGGCCAAGGCCATTGTGGTCAATCACTGTCACCAATGAAAGTATTGGCTGGGCCATGCAATCAAGATGCCGATGACAAAATATAAGAACCAAGGAAGAAGAAGAAGAAAAGTCGTGGTGATAGAAAAGCACAGCATAAAAGACGAAGATTACGTCGTCAACTACGAATATTCAATGAAAATCAAAATCCTACGGAACCAAATGTGGTCCATCTACAGGATGATCACAACGATAATCCACATGAACAACAGATTCAAGTAGGATGATCATTCTTTCGATAAAAATAATGAACGCCTATGTGGACTTCTCGGCTCTGTTTAGAATCATCTACCGAATGCTCCACAAGGAGCAACGAAACCGAAGAAGAAAACGATACCAAGCTCAATAGACATAATAACAGAAACAACGGTATTGATAGATAATCCATCAGTCAATGTAATTCTTCTTCTTCTTCTATCTGTTCGATTTGCTCTATCCCATTCACTTGTTCATTAAATTCATTTTCTAATTATTGGATTTCAAGATTCTCCGTTTCTAAGTAGTGTTCCAATTGCGTTTGTAGATGTTCTTCATACGAGTCGAAATCCCATTGTCTTCTTGGCTGCCATTGCCGTAGTACTTCTCTTTCTCTCTTTCGTCGTTGTTCCCGTTCTTGGCTGAGTTGTACAAGTCGTTCTTGTTGTTGTCGCCGTCGTACGGTAACTGATACACTGGAGCTATGCTGAACACTTAGTAACGCCGTGCTGATAGACCGTTGTGTACTCGCTGAGCCCACTAACTGTGAGTGAGAATGCTCTTTGGGCGAATGGTCAATGTTGTTCTCCATCGAAGACGAGAACCTTGAATAGAAAGCAATATTTTCGAATATAAGTAGAGAAATGTAGTGCATAAGAACACACTAGCAAACACTTTCGGCTGATCACCATTTATTACAAATAGTTTCATCGATCTCAACAAGCACACATACAATCGAAAAGCCATATGGGAAAACGATGGCAAACACTATACATCGGACCTAATGATCAGCCAGTAGTTGTGTTTCCAACAGGATCAAGACCTAGAACAAGAGGCAACATCGATTCGAACACATCAGATAGTAGAACAGTATCCTTTCCAAACTATTCAAACGAATTTGATTCGCGTGATCCTCTGCACTGGTATCAATCGATATCGGCATAGAAATACGTAAATATTCTATTCTAAATGAGACTCCTTTTCTACTACACAGGAATGCTCAGGCCCGAGGCTTTCGTTATTCCGTGAGTGCAAATAGAAAAGTACAAACGTCTTTCTTCGTTTGAACCGACAGCTCTCTGGTCCGACTATCAGCTAGCCCTTTCTCCACCGACACAATATGCATATTCGATCGATTTTCGACTCCTTTCTCACTGCTCGTGAGTGTTCAGACCTGAGACTTTCACAAGTATGTACGTGCAAATAGAAAAGTGCAGACATCTAGGAATATACAGACATGTCCATCTTCTTCTTCAGCGACCATCATCGACCTATATCCTAAAGCCTATGAATAGACACTGTATGCATATTCGATTAAATTTAGACTCCTTTCCGATGACACTCATTACGGCTCAGGCCTGAGACTTCGTTCATCGTACCTGTGTCAAGCAAGAAAGTGCAAACGTCTAAGAATATACACATACGTCTCTGGAACGGTACTTGTTTCTGATTCATTTTGCCCCCTTTCATCATCTTTCATCTGTCATAACACTCGCTTCAACACATTCGTTATCCTTGTTGCCCAACGGTACTTGCAACTTTGTTCCATACTTTTTCCGACTGTCACTCACTGATGAATGCTTAGGCTAGAGACATCATTATCGTCCGTGTGTCAAGAAGGTGCAAACGTCTAGGCACATACCGATGTGTTCCTATCCAATAGAACCATCCCTATTCGGACTTAAGGGTACCCCCCTCTTTTTTCACCTTGCTGCCAGATGCGGAGTACATGTCCGATTGAGCTCAAATTTATAGCAGAGATAGAACATCGAAAAAGAAAATCGATGTATTTTTGCCCAGAATTTTG